GTCTCGAACTCCTGACCTCAGGTGATTTGCCAGCCTCGGCTTCCCAAAGTGCTGGGATTACAGGAGTGAGCTACGGTGCCCAGCAGGAACCTCATATTTTTTCTCCTCTGGAAATGAAGGAACAATTTTGTGGTGATGGCTGGGTGCAGTGACTCATGCCTGTGATCCCAGTACTTTGGGAGGCCGAGGCAGGAGGATTGCTTGAGCCCACGAGTTTGAGTCCAGCCTAGGCAACATAGAGAGACCCCATCTCTACAAAAAATAAACAAAATTAACTGGGGCGTCATGGTACATGGCTGTGGTCCCAGCTACTCAGGAGGCTGAAGTGGGAGGATTGCTTGAGCCTGAGAGGTTGAGGCTGCAGTGAGCCATGATTGCGCCACTGCACTCCAGCTTGGGCGACAGAGTGAGACACAGTCAAAAACAAAAACAAAAAACTTTTTGTGTGCATGACAACTGAGTGAAATCAGAAGTGTTAAGTAATTATACTCAGTAGGTGTCTAATACATGTTTATTTCACTGGGATGGAGAGCAGGCCCTACTTCCAGGGAACAGGTTGAGATCTGGAGTCCCTATAGGGTCAGAGCTAGAGGACCCAGAGGAGGAAGACCTGGAAGGCCTTCCTGGAGGAGGAGCTGTCAGCGCCGAGTCCAAAATGAAGAGGCATTTGCAATCCTGGAGAAAGCTACCCCTGGTAGGGGAAGCTGCAAGAGGAAAGGCTGAGGAGATACCAAGAAAAGCAAGGGACCTGCATCCCCATGCAGCCCTCTGCCCATCTGCAGGGGCACTCAGAAGTACACAGAGCCCTCGCTGTCTCCTTGGTCATTGAATTTCTGGATCTGAGTCTTGAGATGCCTCAGTTTACCCTTCAGGTAGTGGCAGCGAGCCTGCTTGTCCAGGAAGCCAGGATCCTAGGCAGGGCGAGACCCGGAAGTCCTTGCAGCAGTCTGCCCTGTGGCCCTCAAGCTGCTCAACCCGCTTTCATTCTCCGAGCCTCATTTTTCTCTCCTTGAAACTGGGCACAGGCCACTGGGTGAGCTGGGCGAGGTGGCTCATGCCTGCAATCCCAGCAGTCTGGGAGGCCGAGGTGGGCGGAACACTTGAGGTCAGGAGTTCTAGACCAGCCTGGCCAACATGGTGAAACCCTGTCTCTACTAAAAATACAAAAATTTGCCAGGCGTGGTGGTGAGCGCCTGTGATCCCAGCTGAGGCAGGAGAACCGCCTGAACCCGGCCGGCTGAGGTTGCAGTGAGCTGAGATCTTACCATTGCACTCCAGCCTGGGCGACAGAGCGAGATTTTGTCTCAAAAACAAACAAAACAAAACAAAACAAAAACCGACACAGGCACCCCAGCCTCACAGAAGTGTCAGGGGTGCAAGACCAAGATATGGGATGCAAGACTCACCGTTCGCTTCTTCTCAAACTCCCTCCAAACCCGGGCTGCAACTTGGGCCTCCTTCTGCAAGGGGAGGAGTAGAAAGGGGGTTTAGGGAGAGTTGAACTCAAGGAGGGATGGGGAAACCGAAGCTCAGACACACTAAATGCCCATCTAGTGGGGACTTCAAGGGCTGACCTAAGCCATGTGTCGTGTGGCGCCCAGCCAACCTAGAGTAGAAAGAGTCCCAGAAATCTGGATCCAGTGGGTGTCCCACAGGCTTGTCGGGCCACTCAGAAGGGCTGCGGGGCAGGGCTTTCTCCCCAGTGCTGACCTGGCTTTGGGGTGGGGGCAGGGAGCTCAGCAGGGCCTCCAGCTGTCTGAGCTTTGCCTGTGCACACTCCACCTCCCGCTGGAGCTCCACGAACTCTCCGTACTGGTCCTGGAACACTGCGGCGTAGCGGCTCCGCTCCCTCTCACTGCTCACCGGTGGGTACTTACTACCAGGTTGAAGGGGGTCAGAATGTGAGCGTAAAGAACCCCACCCTTTCCCCCAGTCAGTGTAATTTGCTTTCCTTTGTCCATGCCGGGCCCCCTACTAAAAATGTTCCTTTTCTCCCCGTCTTTTTATTATTATTATTATTTTATTTATTTATTTTTTTT